ATATTTATATATATATATATATATATATATATATATAATATGTGTATAATGAGTAATATGAAATGGATGATTAGTGTCATTCAAAGAAAATCTCTGGCGTATGCATATTTCGTGATCAGATATGTTGGTCGTAATTGAAGAAGTAGCTGGATTTGTAAACTGGTTAACTAAAAGCAGCAACAGTAAGAAACAGATGAATTTCATAGGCAAATTGCGGTTACAAGTGTTATAGGAAGCTAGGTTAGATGATGAATGAATGAGGGATATCGATGGCTGTTCGTTGCTTTTTGATTGCTCGTCATTCGTCGTCCTCAAAACCGTCCTACATAATGATACATGACAAATATAAAATTGTTCTGTATAGCGTATTTGTCCATTGAAAGCAAAAAAAAAACGGGTGAATAATTGTTACATGATGATTCATTCAAATCGGCTATCTCAATGTATTTGTAAAAGTAGAGAATCTCTGATTGAATTGCGTCAATTTATTGATGTGATTACTAACGTGAAAAACGTTTTGAAGGCCGAACGAGGTGAATTGAATGTTTTTATAGTAGCAGAACTAGGAAATGAAATTTATGAAAAAATGAAAAGGAAAAGTGAAAATACTAGTATGAATGTACAGTATTGTTTTATTTATGTGGGAAATCAATCACCAGTATTTCATTTTGTTCAACTAGTTGCGTTGCGTTGTGCATTTGTTCATACCAGAATGTAAGACTTTCCAGAATTTTGTTTTTTCGTTTTAGTTTTCTTTGCATTGAATATTACTGATATTGATATTTCTTACTTTACTTTCTTTTTAATTTCTTCAATTTCTTTTATTCAATTTCTACTTTCCATCGATTCTCGTTCTTAATTTGTTTTATTTCGATTTTATTCGTCGTACTTTATGCTATGCTTACATCATTTATATTCCTCCAACTCTGCGATAATAGCAAATCAATCGGTTCGTTTGTTTGCTTGTTTCTTGCCTTAGTCTGTTGCTTTTATAGTTGTAGAACATACACTTCGGACAACAATGAATTTGTCATGAGGAAATCAATAGACAGCGGTTGTAGGGAATTATCGCGGCGTCTTCACTTCCAGTCTGCTATTCAAACCTCGGATTTTTTGTGATTAGCATTTTGATACCAATATACGAATCAGCGGTGCTCATTCCTAATCGGTAGTCCAGATTTCCTTATCATATCTGCATATTCTACAAACTTAGTTCACGTGTAAAACCAAACTTTTCACATGATCAATTTCAGAACGATGACATCATTTTACAATATCAGTTATAGGCTTCAACCCATAGTTGTCGCTAGTTAGGCCAGTGATCAGTCAAGTTGTTTGAATCACGGCAGATTTTCAAAATTTTTTCATCGATTACTAAGCGATATCCGATTGGTTTCAAAAACGAAACCAGCGATGTAAGAAGTGTGTTTAGAACGCCTTATTTATGCACTTGACAGCTTGAATGAACAATGAATGCTTTTGAATCGCAACAATCGATCGTCGCTGAATTACACTTACTTATTTGTTACCTTCGCCAAAAAACAATTTCATTTCCTCTTTGTCCTTCTATTTTTCTACACCACACGTGTATAACTTCTGAAACGCAAGATGCTGCTGCATCGCATCTTAACTGTAATTCGCATCTTCTTTTCACATGCATTCATCCTGTTTTCATAGCACTGCTCTATTTGATGCGAGGTATCACCGAAGCGTGGCAGTCACATGATAATTATAAACTCAGTCATTTTCTACATCTAATTACTCACCGCTCAGTAACGGTAACCTTGGGTGAAGTTATTTCAATCAATTCATTTCTCATCAACTGATTGTATAATACGTTTTGATTGTTCAAAAAAAAAATTTCCCTCTGCAAATCTACATTTAATTGAATTCAAGAATTAAAGAACGAAAGTTTCTAAGAAGAAAGGAAAATCAATTCACTAATAAGAATGTCATTTACTGAAAGAAGATGGGAGAAACAATTCGTTTTCTTCAAATATTTAGCTAGCTGCTGTATGTCATACATAAATGAATTTCTCTCCATTTCGTTATTCCTTTCTACTCTGCTATTTCATAGCATACTTTGTTGAATCATAGGGAAAATAAAAAGTAAAAGAGGTAAGTCAGGTTTTTTGAAGCAAACTTTCCTACATGCACACCAGACAATATATATATACACCTAATTATCATGCATTATGTGCTGTTGTTATGACAGTGAGTACAAGTGAAGTAAATATACTGTCATTTCAAAATTCCTTATTTCTCGCTCAGATTTGGTTGTTTACTTTTTCTTCATACTTGATTCAATATCTCATCACAAACAATCCAAACATTTCACCAACTCATCTCCCCACCGTAATCTACCATTGATTGCAGCATCATGTTGCGCTGTTTATTTATCGCATCGTTAAGATAACTTCGTTGTTTCAACTTCTAAATTTCATTATTTCAACCATATGATATTGTCTGCATTAATCCTCGTTTATTTCAAACGTTAATCGAAACTGAGTTCAGTTCATAATCGTGGTTCAATCAATCTTCGAAACAATAACAGTTCGTGGTATAAAAGTTATTTGATATTGTTTAACATCTTAGTAGTGTTATAATTATGTTGTCCACAAGTGTTCTGAATTACAAGCATACGTCCACTAGAGTCCGAAAATCGCAAAACAGCAGCTTAAAGGAGGTTATCAATTGCAACTGGAGGGGGACTGCATTGAATTGAAATGGGTTTGTTTTGCCGACATTTATTATTCTCATTTCGTATCCTCACCAAATGATGTTTCAACGAATAACGCATTGAAGTGAATGAGAAATGAATTGAAACACAACGAATGCTCATTGATCAAGTGCGATTGCATAATTGTGTCAGCTTCATTATTCAGGAGGAAGGATTTTAATCACTTTTCAAAATTTTCATCCCATGTCAAAATAATTCTTCATTCAGTCATCCTCTGATTCTCTACAACTTTCATGCCTGATTTGTGTATAAAAGAACCTTTCCTCCTATTGAAAATATCATATGAATTCTTTTGAACTTTGCCAATGTGATCATGGAACATTAGCATTATCTCATTAATAACAAAATTCAACACTGATAATATGTTTAAAAAGCAGTATTCATCAGCAGAATATGGCAACCGGATGTGAAAAATAGAAATGAGAGAAGCACTTACTCATTTTCAGCGTTTCTTTCCAACCAATGGAGCTTTTTTGTTTTGTTTCTTTCTGTTTACGCTTACGATTTTGCATAGCAGCTGTTGAATTGGATCAGAGATATAAATTTTGAATGTGATTGTACTTTTATCATTCACTGCCAACATTTTATCTTATATTACACAAATCGCTATTCACCAGATCATCGCATCATCTTTTTGCTGAATACTTTCATTAATGAACGTTTCTGCTATATCTGTCATACAAGTGAACATCCACCTGCAACATATTTATGCTCATTTATTCAAGTGAGCCGTTCCATCCGATCATTCAAACATTCCGTTATTTTTTCTGGAGGTGCTTTAGTTTTGTTTTGTTTGATATTGCGCTGACGTTTAAATTATCACGAAACAGTATTGCAGTTCTGTTTTGTCATGAATATTCTTTCATCTGATTAAGATTTATCACTTTGAAAGTAATTTGTTAAACTAAACTAAATCCTGTTGACAAAAGGTCAACAGCAGAACAAGAACGATTCGCTATTTCTTTTTCAGATTCAATTTAGCATTCCCTCATATTATTGACAATACATGTATTTTATCGTTTTCAATTTTATCCCATGTTTGTAACAGTCACAATGCCATCGTCAACAAATAACGCACACCGATGCGTATAATGTTTTTGAGCAAACAATAATTAGAATTTGTTTGTATTTCTAAGCGTTTCAATGAGAAATTCGTCACTTTGTATGTGGCGCAATTTTTGGGTTGTTTTGTTTTGTCAGCTGCGATCTGGTTTTGGGAAAATTACTCAAGGTGTATTACAATACTCAGAGAAGAATTACTTTGTTTGTTTCACCATTTGTTTATGTGTCTTTGAAATAACGATCGTAACGATGAATTCGGCTATCGGATTGAATTGTTATGAGCATATGAGATGACGCAATTTGTGCGATACATGATTGATAATTTCATCCTTTTATTATGCTGTTCATTTTGCAATGGTCTATCATTTCACAGCTTTATCTATTCGCTCCACCGTAACTCATGTCAATATTCAATTGCTGTCTCGTAAATCATCGAATGAATAATCCCCACATCCTCCACTATATGCCTATTGAACTGTTTTTTTTGGCATTACTCAGTAAAATCTATTCGAGATTACACTAATAAGCGAGTTTCTACAGTATAATTATTATTGATTTGTATCATTTTTCCAAATTTTATTCGACTATATCACATTGCCTGTGAATAAACAAGATTTTAGAGAATCTTCGCTCTCTCACTATTGATGTAATATTCTCATGTTAGTTTTTCAATATTTCTCATGCGCACACGAAATAAATTAAGCATCAGATATTTTAATGAGATTCTAAATTTCTTAAAATTGGATGAAAGTATTAATCCGCGCAATAGTATCTTTGATGTCCAGGCATAGTCTACTTCATTTCAAGGTTATGAATCGAGCATTTTCAATCATCACAATGGTATTTTGAACATCTAACTTGATTGCACATCACACATGTGATATCACTGATGTGATTTGCGAATCGTATACGTTCAATTCCTTGATATATTTTTGTATTGTCGTTGATGCTAGAATTTAATTTCATGATAAATTTTGTTTGTTTCGCTGATATAAGTCATATAATGTGACACTCGTGGACGTTTCTTTGTTTTCGGTAATTGTTTAATGTTGTTCTGTTATCGTAACTGATTGTTTGCAGAGCTGAGATGGGTAAAGGCGAGACGACAGTGACTACAACAACCGATAGTGATAACAATCCCGTTCTGGAGCAGTCTGCGAACGAGAATCTCACAGGCGATTCGCATCTGCAGTCGGCTACCGTTCATCTTTTAGATGCCAGCACTGAGGTTTTTCACGTCTCGGTTAGTACCTCATCTATTTATTCCTTCATTTGTTTGTTCATTGGTTACCAAAAGTGGTATTCATATTTTGTTTTCTTCTTAAATTTACTATTCGATTCATCTGTCTGATCACATTCAGTAGTGCGAGAAAGAATATTTCGAACATTATAATTTGAAATTCGATTTTGAAATTCGAACATTATAATTTGAAATTCTTTCGCACTCGATTTTCAAAGACTTATTTCATGTGACTCCTAGCGAAGAATTTTTATTTTTGATGCATATAGTTATTGCTGAAAGTGCGATCTTCCTATCAAATTCTACTTTTTTTTCTTATATCACCTTGCGTTAGCTTCCTTCTTGAAATGCTCTTCGTCAACATTTTTAGTGTGTTTTAATTTACTCGTGATATGTATTCCGTAAAATTCATTTGCTTATCGCATCTCTCTATATCCTTGCCTAAGTGGATGAGTATTTACCAGATTGCAGTTACTGCTATTTTTTATAAAGCGCAAATTGTTGAGCACTGTTCGAAAATTTGTATGTCTAGCTTTCAATCAAATCAAAGAATATCTCATTATGTTTGCTTTTCATGAATCACTACTGCTATTGCGTCCATTTTTTTCGTTCCTTCTATGTGCCCTTTGAGTTGTTGCAGTTGCTCAACAGTTGAAAACGCTTCGTTAATCTACTATACTTTTGTTATTGTTTTTGTTAAAATTACTATTATTCTGATGTTTGCTAGTTATAATATTTCTAATTATTATTGGTTTTGTATCTTCGACATTCAATAAATCCTTGTTTAGTCAGTTTTTTTTTTGAAGAAGAAAGCCGAAGGTAAAGAACTGTTCGATAAAGTGATTGAGCATCTGAAGTTGGCCGAGAAGGACTATTTTGGATTATCGTATTTGGATGAAAATGGAAATCGAGTAAGTTTTGTTCGCTTCTTTTTTTCTTTTCTGCTTTTATTGATTCTCTCGAAATCGCCTTCTCGACGTTCTTAATCCTTTCAGAATGTTGCCCTTGTTAACAACTGATCGGCAGATGAAATATTTTTTAATTTATGTTTGTCTTTCAGCATTGGATTTACGAAGATAAACGAATTAGCAGGCAGTTGAAAGGTTATTCATTAAGTGATTTTCACGCCCTCTCTTGACGACAGCCAATATCTCCCTCCTCCTTCCAATAATCTAGATAACCACCATCTTTCATCTTCAACAACAGCATTAATTCGAAAGAACATCAATGAATTGATACTATGATCAAAAAGTTTGCTATCGTGAATTCATGGTGGTATCAAAGGGATCACTTTCTTGTGATCGCATAGGCATTTTGAAAATATTGTTTAACGTTTTTGGCGGAAATAAACAAAAAATCAACCTTCAAAGATTTGCGAGCTGCTTTACTCCTTTTTTGACATGCTCAAATTCCTCCACCTATAAGAACAGAACCATAAAACAAAAAATCGAATCATTTGATTTGCATGGTACTCTTCAAATCACTCACTGATGAAGAAGAAATTGGCCAATCTTATCAATACAGTTCTTGTTGATAATTGTTGTTATAATTGACACAATGTTATTGATTTATTACTTATTTCCCTTTACTCATTGCCAGTATAGTTTATTATTTACCATTCCAGGTCATCCATGGGTGTTCAACTTTGAAGTAAAATTCTATCCGCCTGATCCAACCGCTTTGATTGATGATTTGACTCGCTATTATCTCACACTTCAAATTCGTCATGATATTTATACTGGAAGGTGAGGTTTCTAGTAAACTCCTTTACGCAGCAGTGTTTATTTTACATATATTGTACTTCTGACAAGAACTTATCAAAGGTTTGCCTGAATCACTGTATCAATGTACTTCTGAACTTATCAAAAGATGAATTACCTTTTTCATATCCCTGAAAAATTAGTCTCTTCATGGTTGGCTTGTTAGATTCCATTAGATTACAGACAGCAAACCAAGCAACGTTGAATTTTATTTGGGAAATGCGCGAATGCAAAATTCAATTTAACTTAAATGCAGAGTATGCTAACTGTTTTAAAGTTTACTTTACTCATTTAGCACTGATTTTTCTCCGGTCACTGTGAAAAGTGGTGAGCAACATATTGCTATGTTATTCAAAGTTGGAGAAATGTATCAATTATGTGAAAAAAATCTTGAAATTCAAAAAAATTCAAGTCCATTCTGAGAATTTTTGAACAGTTGTCCATATCGACATGAATCAACCATAATTGATTTTTGATTATGCGCTTACATGTTCGTATGTTGAGTTGTGAAAGATTTGAAGATGAGTGCAGTTGAATTATTTCTTAATCATTTTCCTAAACAACTGAAATCTTCAGTAACCGTATGGAAATAGGTGAAATTTTGATATGAATTCCTGGATATTGAAACTTCTGATAACCCTTCCTGATACCTAAGTATACTATCGTTCAATATACTGTATAACGAACGGTATAATTCCAAATTCTGTAAACTTCTATTGTAAGTAACTTTGTCATCTGACCAAAACTGTAATAAGTGGTGCACTCGTATTGTTTTTGGAATCATTACGTGAATTGTCATGTGAATATCTCGTAGGATTCCCGCTACTTTGGCTACACATTCTTTATTGGGATCATATGTAGTGCAAGCGGAACGAGGTGATTATGAGGATACGCCGGATTATGATGATTTTTTGCAAGACTGTCGATTAGCACCTGTACCATCGGCAACACTTTATGAAAAGGTTCGAGAACTGCACAGACAGCATAAGTATGTTGTTTTCATTTTTTAATAAGTCTTTTCTGAATCCAAAAATTATGTTCCATTCATAATATATTACCACCACGAAGGAGCATTTAATTTGAAAGAACTGATTATATTCTGTTGTCTATTCAAGGGGTGAAACACCGGCAGAAGCCGAACAACATTATTTGGATAACGCTAAGAAGTTGAGCATGTATGGTGTCTTCCTGTTTCCAGCAAAGGTAAACTGTGTACGATTTTTTGTGCTTTGATTGTATTTGCATATATGGGTATTAAAAAGGTTTTACCCAATAGTTCATTTCAAGAAACTTCTTAAGACGTTATTCGCCTTTTTGATTATACATCAGTCACCATCAGTTTTTATTACATTCCATTGTATTCCTCTTACAGGACTCAAAAGGTGTACCAGTACAGGTCGGTGTGTGCGCGCATGGAATTTATATATATTGCGATCAGATACGTATCCATCGTTTCATTTGGCAGAATATCATCAAAATCGCTTATCGGAGAAACACATTTACCATTAAACTGCAACCCGGCGAGGTGAATTGTTATTACTTTCACTTTTTTTTGTTTTGTAGATTGCATATTTTTTCTTCCTCAAAGTTTTCAATGTAATTATGCTGTTCAGCTCGACAAAAATGCGTCAGTGTTCGTACTCAAGGTACCAGATTACGCTAGTGCAAAACGCATTTGGAAATGTTGTGTCGAGCATCATACTTTCTTCAGGTAAGCTGCCAGTAAACAATATCATTCTCTTAATCCAAATTCTTTCAGTCAATCCAACCACTCATTTCTTTTGTGGCTTTTTCTTGAAGTTTTCTCGTTCAAACTTTATTCGTTTTTGTTTCAGACTGATTCAACCAGATGAAAAACCACACAAAGGACTGTTCAGATGGGGCTCAGGAAGGTTCCGTTATCAGGGGAGAACGCACTTCCAATCCAAAATGGCTTCTCAAATGTTTGGCCATCCCTCGGATACAGTACAACGATCTCATAGTGCACGTATAGCAACAATAAGTGATGAAAATGGTTTGTGTCATTCTCTGTTTTGGCTAATGTTGTCTTTAAAATTGTTTTTGCTCTTATAGAAGATGTTTCATTATTAATTTTGATGATTTTGTAGTGTCTACTCACACAATTTCTATAAAACAATTTTAAGTTTTTTCAGTTCCGCCAGAAATAGGCGATAATCAACAGACATCACCATTGCATTATGTGGACGATGGCACTTCACGTGAAGTAGGCTTTAGAACTTGTTTGCTATCTGTTGCATTAATTACAATTATAATTGCCACAGTGACTCAGTGCTCCTTATCTTTTTACATCGTGATGGCAGTCGGCTACGGATCGACACGGCGCGTCATAATGCTATAGAGAATTGAAAGAATCACATCGAATAGCCAAAAAAATCTAAGGAATCTCAGCAAACATAAAATTTCTATCTCAGCCATGATGCAAAAGAATGCTGAAGTCAATTATGTTCAAGGCAGCTAAGGTGTATTTGCTTTCCAGATGACAGTGCTAGAGAAAACGTACACGCTGAATCACCAAACAATGGAGGAGTTGCCGCTAACGATCGAAGAGCAACGAAACAGAATGCTGAACGATAGCGATGAGAATGTGTTGTATTCAAGACATGATGCTACCACGCTAACCGAGGTGGGTGAATCGACAACGCGAAATGATTCGTCTGTTGTGGATCGTTCCGCAGCGTTAATGCATGATCAGTTATATCGCTCTACTCCTACTACCGCTGCTGCCACATCTTTTGGCCGTCCTACTACTACAACTACTACTGTTGCTACTACTACTACCAGCACTTCTACTACTAATCATACTACTACTGCTACCACTACTAATTATCGTTACTCATCCTCTTCCACTTCTCCGCTTCGTTTTTCTTCCTATCCGCAATCGAACGCAGCTGCAGCAGCTCAGTCAGATATCACTCCACATTCCAAGCCACCCCTTCCACATTCCAAACCACCACCATTAATGAATCAACAACGATTCACACTTCTCAAGTCTAAAAACGAATGCCAAAGTAATGGCACCAATCAGCTTCCTGAAGCTATTAACTCGCAAAATTTGTTTTCGTTGCAGCAAACTGGCGCTGATAACGATTTTGATGAGGTCACCCAGCTGCGGAAAGAAAGTGACCTACGGTTTGATCCGTTACAAGGCACGGGTGTTGCGTATCATCCAGGGCATTACGAGGAAATCTCTCGAACTGGAGGACCAATGCGTGAACCACCGGTCGATGCTGACGATGATGTTGTTTTCATTCCAGGAACAAAGTGGAGAAATGAGAAAAATCGAATTGCCCATGAACCTTCTACAACAACAACTTACTTAAAAAATATAGGTGCAGATATTGACATCGAAGATGATCGCTTGCATAATCTGCACTTGGATAAACAAGATGAATTGGCTGGTTGGCCGATTCAATACTTTGTTAACGTTTATCATTCCGGTTTGACTCAGCCGTATCGTGGCGGTAATCGTAATATTTTTGATTTTCAACGAGCAATTTGTGAAGGTGCTGAAGAAGTGATTGATGCGAAAGATATCAAGAAATCAACATATCCTCAAGCAACTGCTGTTCTTACGGAACCAGTTATGCGAACCGAACGTGCCGTAGAGTTATCAGCTGCACCACTCAGAGCCTATTCGTCAGTATATTATGATGGAGTCTCCTCTGACAAGACTGAGAAAACAACTGGCGCTAGCTCATTTGAGTTGCACGGTCGAAAGGTAAACGAGAAGAATAGGCAAACCTCGAAATCACTTACCAAAGCGTCCAATGAGAGGCGACGAAGATTATTCGGGTATGCAAAACATGGCGGTGAAACGGAAATGATTGAGAAGTGCAATGTTCGTCCCGAATTATATGGGCTTCCATCAACATCGTATGACGGTCCGTTAGAAACGGTGAGGCGTGATGAGGAATTGCATTGTACACCAATTCGAGAGTATTCATCAGTGTATCATTGTGGTGTATCTGTACCCAAATCCAGACGACGAAAGTTGCGCCCTATTACGACATCGTCATCGAGTCGTGGCGTAGGTGTTGGTGTAGGAAGCACAAATGCAGAGGAAAAACGGAGCATTAGCGATCTCAGTAGTAGTTACATTGGAGGATCGTCGTCTGAATTATCTGATGAAGACATGGATTCAGAACAAGAACTGGCTAGCGATGAATACAAGAAGAAAGCAATCCTCCATTTACGTGATAAACCGTCCGTTGATGTTGAAAAAACAGCTTCCTCTTCTAGTTCTGCTGCTCGAGGTGGCACTTTGCGACGTTTTAGTGAACGAGGGCAAGAACTGATCGAAAAAGGCCGTGAATTGTTCACTGTGAGTGGTAAAACGTACACAGTATCGCAGTCAGGTGTTAGACAGCCTACTCATTACGCAACTGATGATGCAGATGACGTTCCTCAATTGCTGATTGCTAAAACAAAAGATTATGACTCGGATCAGTTGCAGCCAACCAGAATGGAGCACTTGTATGGGAATGCTCATCTTGAAGATGGTAGTAAGGTGATCGAAAAGTCATTTGTTAAAGTTGAAAATTATGGTTCACCATCCACTTCTTATGAAGACACTCTACAAATCACAGCACGTGACCGAGAGCTTGATATGACTCCCATTCGTGACCATTCATCGGTTTATTATTCGGAGATGTCATTTATGAAAAGCCACAAAAAGCCTATACCGACTCCTTCCAGAGATTCTGATGAACGAATAAAGAGTGTAGAAAGAAAGGAGCAGTCACCCAGTTCGGCAGTGCCGGAGGATAACAAAGGAAAAGAGAAAGCTGATGATGTCATGGAATTTCAGAAAGACGATCAGAAACCTGGTGCTGGAGGTGGCCCTAGATTGTTTTCTTTTTGGCGTTATGGGAGACAGTCGAGAGATGCAAATACGCAACAGGTTAAAACTTCAGAATCTGCTGACGATTCTTATTCGGCGACAATTCCACGTTCACATAGTGAGCACGTTGATAACATCGAAAAAATTCCAGAGCTCCAGTCTGAACCTTTAAAAAGTGTAAAGTTGGGAAAGACACACTCATTAGAGCAAACTGAAATGCCTGAGACGCATTTTGTCTGTAAACAGTTTGATCGTGAGTATCAAGATCACTCTGATTTAGCAGAAAAATCTGAAACAAAACCACACTCGTTCTGTATTTCTGGTGCACAATATGACGGGCCATATGAACAAACAGTTCGGCAAGGTGAATTGCCATCATTACCAATCGGTGAGTATTCCGCAAAGTATCATTCGGGACAAAGCACAATCACAGAAGAGGGAAACCATGCTGAAAAAAGTCTGGATGAGCCAAAAACGAAAGACACAACGAGTGGCATGTTCTCTTTCTTACGAATGCCATCAAAACAATCTAAAAATAAATTGGCTCAACAAACTGATGAACGCGGATATCCTATAATAACATCAGAACGTTACAATGGTCATCTTGATAGCACAACGTATAGAAAAGATCTTCCACGTGAGCCGTTGCCTATAAAGATGGATAAAGACCAGCCATTGGAGGCAACCCTCAAAAAGCACGTTCAGGAAAAGACTGTCGGTAGTGATGAAGCGTCTGCCATGCCACCACCCATCTCGTATGAAGAACACTCGCATAGTCTTGACAAGGGAAAAGAGCTTTCCTCTGCTCCGTTTCATTACTCTGTAGTTGCACACTCGAGTGTGCGTGCAGAAAAACCATCTGGAACGGTTGTAGTAGATGAAGAGAGCAAAGGCATACTTGGGCAATCACCGGAAGGAAAACTGGAAAATAAAGGAAGGGGCGAAGAGCGAAATCCTGTTATTGCAGAACCTGTTGGTTATCCAGTCATTACCAAGCATGCTTATACTGGCCCCTTACATAACGTCTCTCCATCGAACGATATTCCATCTAAGCCACTGCATACAGTTGTGAGCGTTTACTCTTGTGATCATCCAGTGAAGCACACCAAGATTCGTGACCAACCACGTAAGATGTTCCGTCACATTTCTCATCAAGGTGATGATGAAGTGGTTGAGAAATGTGATGTGAAACCTGAAACCTACCATCTCTCAACAGTGATATATCAGGGCCCAGTAGATATGACTCACCGAGCAGAAGATCTTCCATCAACTCCATTACGAGATCACTCGGCGGTATACCACTCGGGAATTTCATTTATCAAGAGCCAAAAATCAAAACTTCCAAAGTTTGGCTTCGCTTTCAAAGGCGACGTTTCTAGTAAGCACCATGGCGCTGATGCATCAAGTGATTCATCCTCGAGTGATGACGATGCTGAAAAAACAGTCGAGAAGTATGCACACCAGTCGAGCAGTAATGCTCCAAATATCGAACGAAAAGACCACAGTGAAAAGTCAGTTGGAAGCGGTGAGGAAGGTGGCGCTCATTTCTCGTTTTGGCGCCTACATGGCTGGCGTAGGAAACCGTCGAACGATGATGTTTGTTCATCGAAGCATGGTGATGCAGGGGCAAATATAAAAGACGACTTGACAACTGGACCGATTGGCACAACTGATCGGTCAGAAGAAATGCCTTCCGAATCGTTAGATGTTGCTGTTAAATCGACAGTAAAACAACAAGCTAAGAAGTCGAGACTCCGCGATCGACTTAGTGATTATCATTTATTCATGCGTTCATGTCATGATGGTGATGAGGAAGTTATCGAAAAATCGAAGATACCAATTGAATCCTATAATTTATCATCCGTTCCTTATAATGGGCCTCTAGAATGTACAAATCATCAAGAAGATCTCCAGTGGGTTCCAATCAGCGAATCCTCTTCTGTTTATCATCCTGGAACATCCTACGTCAAGGGTAAGCGGCACACGGAAACATCTGAAGAATTTTCTTCCACAGAAGAAGATGTGGATGGCAGCAAACGGAGCATCGGTGGTATGAGCCTGGGTTTATTCTCCTTCTGGCGCTCATCGGATAAAAAGCATGTGAAAGATGAAAAAACTGGCAAAGACGTTGAGATGGAAAAGACAGAGGATAGTGGGAGAGAGGTAATCGTTCATGAACAGAAAAAAATTGATGAAATGAAGACACAACCGTTGACTGAAATTGAAAGGGTTCAAGAAACGACTATGAAAGAACCAAAACTGAAGCAGCGATTGCGAGATTACCGCCTGTTTGGTCGTATTAAACTAGCCGGTGAAACCGAAGTTATCGAAAAAGCTGATGTAATTCCTGAATCTTATCAGCTATCATCGGATCCGTTCAGAGGTCATATTGATGAAATGCATCGCCAAGAAGAGCTTACTGCTGCTCCAATCCAAGAATTTTCTTCTATTTATCACTCCGGTTTATCATTTGATAAGTCTAGAAAAAAGACGAAACTCCCTGCAGTTAATGTGAGTCGATTGGAATTATCATCTGAGTCGTCAAGTGACGAAACTGGTGATGAAGTTAAGAAGAAAGCTCTAATCTTCGTCAAAGGTACTGAAAGGGAATTCGAGAAACACAGAGATAGTCGTAGTGGTGGGTTGTTCGGTTTCTGGCGATCGTCGGATAGAAAAAAGAAGAGCACTGATTTCTCTGATACAAATGATGATGGCTCAGGTCCTCATGCACAAGAAACGTGTGATGCTCCAATTGATGGAACAGTAAAAGAAAAAGATTTACAAATGGAACCACTGACGAAAACTGAAAAAAGTCTTCGTTGTAAAGTTAAACCGAAACTGCGAAAACGTTTGAACGATTATCGGCTGTTTGGGCGCATTGTGCATGGAGGTGACGAGGACGTCGTCGATAAAAGTGAAATTGATCGGGAATCATACAAATTATCCTCAGTTCCCTATCTAGGCGAATTAGAAACAACACGAAACGAAGAGGAACTTTTATTCACACCAATTCGTGAACATTCATCAGTGTATCATTCAGGGTTGTCGTACGACAGACAAAAACGGCATGAGGAGGGAGAAGAACCTTCCAAGGAAAATGAATCTGAGGAATCATCGGGTTCTACAGACGAAGAAGATATGACTGATGGCGTAAAGAAGAGTGTTAATGTATCATTGTGTGATTCTCGAAGGGACAATCGCGGCTTGTTTTCATTTTGGCGCCCTTCCGAACGACAAGCGAAGGACGTTGAAAGCAACTCTTCTCGAACTGAAAAGTACCCCAAAATAACGAGTGAACCTTACGGTGGACCGATCTTCGATACTAGCAAATCAGTTGAAATGAGGGGCGAACCTTTGTGTATCGAAACAGCTCGCTTAAAAATGAATCAACCCAAGCTCTATCAACGTCTGAAAGATTATCATCTGTTCGGCCGTGTTGTGCATGAAGGTGAAAGTGATGTTGTAGATAAAAAGGACGTAGATCCAGAATCTTACAAGTTAAGCAGCCAGTGCTATGAAGGTGATTTGCTAATCGTCAGCCGAGCCGATGAGTTGTCGTCAGCACCACTCAGAGAATATGCTTCCGCTTATCATTCAGGATTATCGTTTGTGAAAACAAAACGGGGAAGAATCACCAAATCACGTAAAGATGGCGAAATACAGAGCTCGTCTAGTGATGAATCGTCGTCAGATGAGAGCACTCACGATCAAAGTCGGAAAGAAAAAACTGGTAAAGGAACTAGTAGCGTATTTTCGTTTTGGCGAGCTGCGGAACGAAAATCCATGCAAGAAGCCGGTGAAGGAGTGGGTAAAAAAGAATATCCTGGTACTACAGAAAATAAGGGGGCTGATGAGCTGCCAGCTGAGCTACCATTGGCTACAATGCCTAAATTACATGGAATAGTAAAACCAAAACTACGTGAACGACTTAACAACTATCGTTTGTTTGGTCATGTAACGCATGCGGGTGATGTTGAAGTAATTGATAAAGAGCATGTCAATTTGGACACGTATGGCTTGTCAAGTGCACCTTACCAAGGTAGGTTGGAAAACACTGTCCATACGAGCGATTTGCCATACGCAAGAATCAGTGAACACTCTTCTGTATATCATCCTGGTACATCTTTAATTAAAACAAAAAAAACGAAGCCAACCGCAAAGTTGGTTTTGGGTTTCATCAGGAAGAAAAGTGATGATTCATCATCGACCTCATCAATCACTGAATCATCCTCAGGTGAAGAAGTGGATGAAAATAAATGTAATGTTCCGGTGGATACATCAAAAGACGAAGAAAGAAGAAAACGGTATGGTACAAGTCTGTTTTCTTTCTGGAAATCGTTCGATTCCAAGGATAAAAACGCAACGGAAAAAGCAGTTACTGAGTCACAAGAAATGACGAAAGTATCTGCAGTAACTGCAGGAAACGAGCCTAATACATTCGAGATGTCTGCGGTTAAAAAGCCGAATCTTGAAGAACGTCTCCACGATTATCGTCTCTTCCGTAGGAGTTTTGTTGATGGCGAAACAGAAATAGTTGAGAAGCAAAATGTGAATCCTGAAGCGTATAAACTGTCTATGGAACCATATTTGGGATCGTTAGAAAATACTGATCGTGTTAATGAAATGCCTTTTGAGCCAATTCATGAACACTCGTCTGTTTACCACGTGGGTACGTCTTATATTAAACCAAGGAAGGCTTTATCAGAACGATTGAGATCCTTCGGAAAAGAAGAAAAGAGCAGTGATGAGGATGAAGGGGAGACTGTAGAAGATAAAAATGAGGCTAAAGTCAGTAAACTGGGCGCTGTGCTTCGTATGAAAGATGTATCTAGCACTGAGGAAACTAAAGATAAAGGGACACTTACGGGTGGTTTGCTCTCTTTTTGGCGCACACCAGATCGAAAGGTGAAAGAGTCTAAAGGGCCGTCAGGAAATATCTCCGAAACCCCTTACTTAGTCGATGAAACTGCTTCGAATGAACTGAAAAAGAGTGTTGCTGAGCAAGAGGAAAAACTTGAACCAACTCGAGAAGTGGCGTTTGCCCGGATGAGTCACGTAGCTACCAGTAGGGTGCAACCGTCGAGGCAATCAATCAGTGGAGACGCCTCGGCGGAGAGTAAAAAAGATTTTGAACGAATTGATCAATCTGATATCATCGGAAAAGGGGAGTTACGACCGGAAAGCGGCAACATTTCTATTGACCATTATGATGGGCAGTTGGAAACAACAAATTGCTGCAGTGACCTTGCGTTTGTTCCAATTCATGAATCAAGTTCAGTTTATCATTCTGGATTGTCTCATGGAGCAACACTAGATGAAAAGCAGCCTCTAACGGGTGGAGATCATGAAAAGGAATCTGAAAAGAAGCAAATGGCTATTTTGCGTGTGAAGAAGAGCTCAAAGGCTGCAGGCGAAGGAAGTAAAACGAAACCAAGTGGTTTACTCTCGTTTTGGCTCTCCTCAGAGCAAAAGCCAAAAGATGTGCGCGACATGCATTCTGCTAATGATGATGCTGATGTTGCCTGTACTAACGCTGAGAAACCAACACTTCCAGTCGATGCATTATCTCCTGCTTACATCGGAACTGTGGATAGTATGTTACGTTCGGAAGAATTGGCATCGGAACCACTGAGGAAAAGCAAAGTAACAAAATTGGAGCTGCAAAAACGGCCACATATCAAAACAAAAATGCGTGATCGTCTTGCTGACTACCATCTGTTCCGTCGTGTTGTTTGCCGTGGTGATGATGAGCTTGTTGAGAAAGATCAAGTTAAACCAGAAACTTATAAACTGTCTTCAGCCGTTTACGCAGGTAATTTGCAACGATGTGAACCGTTGACAGAACTCGAATTCTGTCCGCTCAAAGATTTTTCGTCCGTTTACCATCCTGGTATTTCATATACGAAGAGCAATCGTAATAAGTCCACCACAGCAGGAAGAAGTTCTGCAGATCGTCTAGTAGATCACTCCTCATCCGAAGAATCGTCAAGTGATGAGAGTGACAGTGGTAAACGGAAAGTTCGGACTACTGGTGGCATGTTCTCGTTTTGGCGTTCTTCGGAACGTGTGCCGAAAGAAGCCAGTGGTGCTATCGTCGAAACTCATCCAAAAGTACCGACCGAAGAGCGTGTAGAACGTTATAAGCTAAGAGACCGTCTTCGAGACTATCGTTTATTCAGGCATCTGTGTCATGAAGGTGAAGTAAGCTTCATCGAAAAAGATGCTATCAAACCTGAAAGCTATGGCTTGTCGACGGTGCAGTATGACGGGCCTCTGGAAGTGATTGCTCATGATGACGAGTTGTACTTTACACCAATTCGAGAAATGGCTAGTGTTTATCATTCCGGAAAATCAGTTGTGAAGACAGATCGCAAACGACCTTCAAAAATTCTTGCAAAAGATCATGAGGATGATAATTCCAGCTACAATTCTTCATCGGAAGATGAAGAAATGAAATCGGTAGCAATTGAGTCTTCAAAAGATAGGAACGTTGACAAAAAAGCTGGAGGTCTCTTATCATTTTGGCGCTCCTCGGATCGCAAACCGAAGAGAGATTCAGCAAAACCGGAACAACAGGCCGCATTGTCCAGTGGTGGCCCACCCAACATTCCGGGTCACGAGGATGAAATTTGTCGATTCGATGATATCGCCTATGAGCCTCTGCGGACGAAGATTGCTGTATATCACTCGGGTATATCGAACTTGAACGAAAATGATAAATTCGTCCGTGCTGCACATGAGGGCGACACTTATCAAATAACTACTGACCCATACCGCGGTCCCTTAGTAGTGGTGGAAAAGCAACAAGAATTACCTCCTTCATCTATACGTCAGTATGCAGCTGTTTATCATTCTGGGCAGTCATCTGTTAGATCCAAAAAGTTGTTGCCAGTGTTATCAAACCTCGGGAAGAAAGATGATCTGATAAAGGGTGCTTCAGGTGGTGAAGGAGATGAAAGAAAAGAAGAAGCAGGTGACGATAATGAAATAGGTCCGGCTGAGGGTACCAAAGAAGTTGATAGTAAAGCAACTGAGAAAGGGAATCGGTTCACGTTCTGGCGTTCTGCTGAAACGCGGAAGTCAAAGGGTCAAAATGAAATGAATGACGCCCCTAATCAAAGAACGGATACATCGAGTGAATTGAAATCACTTCCCAGCGGTGTTTCAAGTTCTGCCTCGAAGATGCACGTTTTGAATCAAACTGAAGAGTTGAATACCATTCTTGATCATCCATCATTGATCAGTCGTCCAAGTAACGATGAACAATCCGAAACACCGACTGATGAAAATGTCAAAAATAACCGATGGTTGTACACGGTTGATTCGACCGTTTATGAAGGTCCAATAGAATGCACTGATCGAGCTGTTGAGCTGTCACCCGTACCAATTCGTGATTTATCATCTGTTTATCATCCAGGGCGATCTGATCTTGGTGGAGAAACAAAATCGATCACATTAAATGAGCGAGAATTGAACGATCGAACTCAAGATAAGTCGGAAGGAATTGATGGTGTTACTGGTCGGACTGGTGCTAAAAGCGTTTTCAGATCATTCCTCACAGGTCGGAAACTATGGCAGTTCGGAGAACAGCAGACTACCGCTGAGCAAGATCCAGTTTGTTCTTCTGTCCTTGATCGTCAAAAGGATTTTGACGTTCTTCCACCGTCTGACGAGCTGGCTTCTGTACGATATGGTGAATCAAAAGCACCAGAGGGAGGTACAGAATCATTCACGATTTTAGGTGAGAGTAGACTGCAGAGTATCAGCGCTGAAAAGGAACTCCAATTGGCCCCTCTTGAAGAACATGCTTCTGTTTATTATTATGAAACCAGTTTCGACAATGACAAAGGTAACAAATCAGTTAAGCAGCCTTCTAATAAAAGTTCCTCCAAGAAAACAGATAAAGGAAGCGATTCTGGTGGTGGAGGTTTAATGGCTTTTTGGAAAGGTCGAAAATCAAAAGGTGACATTGTTGAAGGTTCTCAATCCACTCAAAGTGAATCTGTTTCTGCTCTATCACCTGAAGAATCAAAAGATTCTATAATTGCTGAGGACGAGCAACTCGGAAAAATTGGTCGCGATAATGAACTTCCAACCGCGGCAATTGGCGACTTTTGTTCTGTTTATTACCATTCGGATAAACCGATTACGAAAAGATTAGATTCGATGCATGAAAAGAGCGAAAGGAAGCTTGAGGTGCCGGATAGTAAGCCGGCAGATTCATCAGTGGTGATTGATAGTAGTAAGCAGGTTCAAAAGCGAGACGAAAGATATGAAAATAGTGATCGAGAGAAAGAAATTGCTCCAACTCAACAGTTGCAAACGACTCCACTTCAAGTAGATAAAGCAAAACCGTCTTCTGTTGACAGTGGTGTGATGCTACCTGAAAGTACAAACCGCACCGGTACAACTTCTGTTTACGCATTCAGACGTGTCGAAGATTTTGATTCTCGAACTGCTGAACAAGCACAACAATATCCTTCAGTAATCGGACGCAAAATCGAGCTATCGTCCATCAAATCTTCCCTCGCAAGTACCAAAGCAGCCCCTCATGTTACCAGTGTTGTTGAGCGTTCAGATGGAGGTGGTTCAGTGGATCATGATGCGTTGTCGATTCGACGTCCAGCACTTTTTGGACAAAGCTCTCGTGCGACAACCGACTATGCATTGTCGAGCAGTACGGATGTCAATAATGGGCGAGAAGCAAGTGATGAGCGTATGCCATCATTTTACACGCTTCAAACGTACATAAGTGATCCGATGGCGAGTGATGGTACTACATCCATCAAGTATCCATCAAATGTTCAAACAGCAACTATACGAATTGATGAGAGTGGTATTCACAAGCAAGTTAAACCAAGTGAAAGCCAATCAAGTGCTGCTGATGTCGTTTGTTTACCGAGTGGCGATGATCGAAGTGAGCGTATAATCACTGCAACAACAACAACAACGACAGTGCTGGATAAAGAAGCACCAGAGGAGGATCGAGAAGTGATCGATATTCAAACAGTAAAGCCATCGTCTAGAGCGGAGTCGAATATATCCGTAGAACAACAGCCGAATTCAGCACTCACAGATGGTACAATGGATGAGCATCAACAAGTAACTGGAGCAAGTAATGCATCATTGATTGGTTATATTAAACGGCGAATAACACAGGTAAGTGGTTTATTTATGAATTCAATTCATCATTTATTAGTATTGAATGCAGCCCTAGCTTTAACATATTTGCTCATGCACCTACTGCTTCATTTGGTGATCGTTTCGTTCAGTCGATCATTTTCGATGAAACCGTTAATTAGATTGCTGTTGCCGTTTTTTTTTATATCCAATCTCTCTACGTTTTTACGTATTCTTTCCAACAATTTTTCGTGTTCTTCTAACTGATTCAGTAGGAGTGCTTCGCCTTAGATTATACATAATGAATGGCTTTTGGGGTGATGAATTTAATATTAGTATTTTTTATTCCTAATTTATCAGTGCTTGTGTATTTTCAAATGATTTGCAAGTTCCATATATTTTTTCGCAATCTAACAACGCTTATATCGCTCACATTTAGCAAGGTTTACATCGCTTTCATATTAACGCAGTTCATTGAAATGATTATGATTATTTGGAATTATTTTGTAACAGATAATTGTATTTTTGGTTCATTTCATCATATTCCCCATAATTCCGAATTTTTCCGAGGAGCTTTTTATTGGTCAGCATTAGAAGATGCGATCAGCGATTCTTGAATTAAATGCGGAATGATAGCAGTTAGTTATGCGCACAGAGCAAACTGATAATTTATTGAATTAGCAGTACGTATGTATGATTTATGGTAGTTGATCGATTGATTAGTTCAGTGGTCTGGCGATTTGTTGTTTAGTTTATGCGACTTATTTGACTGTCTTTTCTTATATTTCATTTTTATCGCATCTTCCCAATCTTCCTACATCTAGTTTGAAAAACACATTAGCGTGCCAAAGAAAATAAATTCCGTTCAGGATTAAGTGCATTTCTGTTTCTCTCTTCGTTTACGTCTCTTTAGACTGTTACCAAGTCATCCGACAAGAAAGAATCAAGGAAAAAATCGGCTGATAAGAAAGTCACTAAGAGTGGTACGCTCGTCGGTGAAACGCCTGCTTCAACGACCTTGGTCGATAAAGAGTCATCGAAACACATATTGCAAAATGCGACTGGATTTGTTCCCATAAAGGTCATCGCTTCAATCGCTTTTTTAATATCATTTCAGTTGTTGACGTAATTTTCACCTTTTTGGACAGGAAACCACATTCATTTTTTTCTTCGCAGTTTTTCGCATCATTTTTGGCCATTTTAATTTCATTTTGGTCAGCGCTTCATTGTATGCGTCATCGTATCCAATTGTTCGTATAATATATTTGTTCTCTTAAAGATAATTTGTACGTTGCTTAACCAACCGCTTAATCGAGCCGTATTCATCGGCAGCGTGTAAAATTCTTAAGGGTGTATCACGCACAACTAAGTTTTAGTCGTTTGCAAAAGTACAGATTTGATTGGTTTGCTCATAAACTCGAACGTAACAATGTAGTTATTTGAAACGTGTGTTAAGTCGCAATTTATATGAGAGGGCAAATATGCAGTTGTTTATTTGAACAATGAACATGTCAAACATTCTATTCACTTCCGAAGTGGATTTGAAGAGCGAACAGTGCATCTCATTTCAATATTCATATTTCTAATACCATTCTGAAGTGTGATTGTTGCCAAATGCTTTTGGTGTTTGAGCTTGAGCAAAATTGTTGACTGAATGAACTACTTGAGAACATAATGAGTTTATGAATAAAATAGCTGTTTTTCTCCGCATTGTTATAATTGATATGAATGGTAATGATCTTTATAAACAGCATTATAAAACAAATCAAATGTATTTCTGTTGAGTGAATATTGGTGAAACTGTTAGCATGAGGAATGTGATTTTAGAATGATGAAGACAAGTTGCAACGTGCTAAGGAAATCGAAACGTTGGAGGCAGGTGTCCTTTCGAAGGAACAAACTGATAGTCCATTTCAAACTGGAGAAACTGGAACAACATCCGTTGATGTAATTGTTTTTTCACTTTAAATTCCAATTTCGAATGAGTTCGAGTGCTAATTATTGGATTTTTGTATTTTTCATGTATAATTATTTTGAGGAATTATTCTCATTCCCAGTTGAAAGAAAGATCAAACGAAGAAATTGTGATGGAAACAACGAAAACATCAGTTCTGAGCAACTGCTAGCCATCATACTCAATATTTTCATATTTAATGCAGATTAATGAAAGTTCATTTGATTCAAAAAAATTTCTTTTGTGCATTGAAGGAAACGTCAACACCACACACGACCATTGAATCGTGGCACGGATCGACAGAAGAGCCAGAATCAGTTGTTATGGATATAGATAAATACGGAAATGTTATTAAGTCAGTTGTTTTTATTTAATTACTTGCGTTCAGTCAAATGAATAAGGGAAGTGGGATTGACATTTTAATTTAAACATGCGGTGTAGATTAGTGATAAATTGTTTTTGGGCTTCTAAGATTTTGTGTTCCCTAAGCTAAGCAGATGGTTGGTGGTTTAATTTCAGAAAACTTGAAAATTCTCAGTAGAGCATGTGCATTGATATCTCGAATAATTCGTTCAGTACAAATTTATGACATAATCTGGGATTACATTTAATTATCTGGATGTGGGATTGCATTACTCTATTCACCATCCATATCGAATCCTCATTCGATCTGATATTTACAATTTTTTTTTTCAAGAAAGACCGTCAAAACCCATCAGGTGAAGCATACCATCCAGCGTCAGACTTATCAGACCTATTCAACAACAACAGCAAAGAATGGAGAATCGGTATATCTTTAAATGCTTTCATCTCTGTAGGTTATTTCCAGTATGCTTCTAGCTCATCAGCCTTGCTTACCTTAGTGTGACGATGAGATGGAAGTTCTATTCTTTCTGAATTTCAAAAAAAAACAGAAGCTCACTTACGCCCACTGCAACGCAAATGAGAATAACAACATTACACTGATTGATAATATTGTATAATCACGAATGCCATTATAGGATGTTCAAACAGTTGAAAGATCGCAGCAAATCATGACACCAATTGGTGAGGGTTCTAATGTGAGTGGCACGACTCCAGTGATCGAAACGAAAAGTCACACTGTGGCGTTCGAAGCAGGTCAACTACCACTGACGATGGGCATCGAAAATGATGATCAGAAACGTGACGATATTCCGGGCGAGTTGATTTCCTGTCGAACCATCACATCAGGCAATCGTACGGTGGAAACTATTACTGTTAGTGGTTGTTCTGTTACTTACTGTATCGTTTGTGAAAAATCCGTTTTAGTTGTTCTTGATTTGCTCAGATATCACTATGTTTACTGAGCAATAAATTGACTGCAACTACAATAGTGTTTGTTTTAATCGACTTGTGCGCTGTTTCAGTACAAAACCGAAAAGGATGGTATCGTTGAAATTCATGTTGAGCATCGCGTCACTATTCATTCCGGTGCTAATATCGATCATGATGCTGTCAGTAGATTCATTCATTTTTAAAATTTTCAATTTAATTCAATAAAATCATTACTTGCTCGACTGAAGATAGAATCAGTGGGATTTTTTTTTGACGTCACTGAAATGATTTTTAAAATCAACGTATTTTTGCGCTTGCTGATATTGACATTGTTGTGATTGGGTTTTTGTGTGAGTTGAAGAATGGACATGATAAGTTAACTAATTTATAAAGCTGAAATGATTCTATTCAACAATTGTGTTTTAAATTATCATCACCATTATGATTACAAGCAGTACGATAATTATTGTTCTTGCAAATATGCAATTGCACATCGTTTCTATGAGTTATGTTGAAGGAACTAAGTCAAGCGATTCTCGAGGCGACCAATATGAACCCAGACATGACAGTCGAGAAGATTGAAGTGAAACAAGAAACGCAGCGTTGAGTGCAACTACGCAAAATAAGTTTGCTTGTTAACGCTTGCAGTTGATTGTAAAATCGACTGGTTTTTATTCGGTTTGCCAGCAGTGAATGTTATTTGTTTTATGATGGAGAAGATCAGTTCGATATATATACATACATACACGATGAGATAAATTAATGACAATTGATGCCCGTCGGTGGAGAGCTCTGCGATATTTTTTTCTCATCCTTATTTTGTTTTCATTTTTTGATCATCCAAATCTTGATTTTGTTGTAAAGAGTTTTAGTACTAAACAGCACGTAGCGATTATTCATAATTTCATCAATTTTGATAATGCATGTCGTGGCTAATGATCACGTAGAACAGGGTTTCTCAACCAGGGGTGCTCGCACCCTTTCGGGTACGAGATAGCATTTCATCATCAATACATTGAAGTAAGCGAAGGCGCATTTCAACGCATACATGTGTATAGAGAAGGCGAGGGTGAAATGTAACGTCTGATTTTAAAAAAGCTAGAAAATACTCTAATGGCATACACTTATCTACACTAAATGCACTCGCTGTAGTGGATGAAAGATATAGAATGGATGTTGTGATGAGTGCAAGGACTCTTTAGCTATTACTGTTGGGGTGAGAGGACGTCTTAAAATTTTTTCGAGGATGCGGGCGAGAAAAAAGGTTGAGGACCACTGACTTAGAGTACGAATATGTGAGGGTAAAATTGCAGAAATTCTCTCACAATTTTTGCGACCATTCTGTAATTATATTTTTTAAGTTGTCATTTTCAATCATTGATTCTTGCTCGTTCATTTATTGAAGTTAACAACGTAATGCAGCTAATTGATGCGACATCCTAATGTGTTGTTTTTTGTATTGGTTCATTAGAAATGCGTTCAGTAAATCTATTCGATAAATTGTTCATTTATTGCATTAGCAGATTCTGCATGTATTATCATTGCATAATTGAAGGGGTAATTAAAATGAATAAATGTTTCAAAAACTACGGCAAATAATTGAGCGTGCTGCAAAGAATCGAATTCATTCTATTCAATAATTTGTGAAAAAAAATCATTTGTTTTTTGTTGCCCTCTCTGCATAATCAACACTCCTCACAAATCAATATTCTAGATTAAATTCACCTCTAACTTTTTCAATTACTTCCGACATCGCTGTCGTTGGAGTCAAAATCATAATTGCAAAAATTCGGTTTTTCGCTTGACCAAAGCATACATGTTGGAACAATTCTTCAATTTTTTCGTTTCGAAGCTAATCGATTGAATTATCAAAAAATGTATATAATCATTCTAAAATGAAATGTACATGATGTTGATAACGCTATACTGAAATGAGATATCATGTATTACATATGAAATAATAAATGCTGTGTTGGAGTGTTGAGTGGAGATGATTTTCAACGCGAATTTAAAATTTTCTTTCAATTGATAATTTCTTATACAAACCATTTTACTGTTTGTTTCTTCCAGCTTTTATCATTATTAAGCATGTCTTTATTGTGTGTGCCTCTATGCGTGTTGCACTCTTTTCATTTCTTCGGGCATTATTGTCGAAATGATTATATTTTCCATTCGCATAAACATAATATGTTCAAATTATTCGTTCGTTCATCAAAACTAAATCTTTTTTTTTAAATCATTGATTTTGGTCGATTTATATTGATAATCATTGCTTAATAATCATATAATTAATTAATTTTTGAATCATCGGTCGATTTATTGGTTAATATTGTATTGTTTGATTGATGGTTCTTTTGAATATTTCTTTTCAATTAAGTGAATAATAAATTTCTTTTATTCATTATAACAACAGAGTGATTCGTACTTAATTTTCTATCAACAGAATTGCTTACTTCGTCACCGTTGTGCAATAGTCTGATGAGAGCTGTCACGTTGCTTTTTTATTATTTGTTTACGTTGACGATGGATTCGATTCTGAAAGTTCAGTTTGAAAGACAGGCTTATACTGGTGTGTTGCAGGGGCGGAAAAAAATTCTGGGATGACATTTTGCGGTCAGGGATCCCAAAAAATGCAGCCGGCTCGAAAAAATCTGGAACGGGGTTTCCGAAATTCCTCGATCTCCGCAACACACTAGTTCATATTGTGTTTGGTGCGTCGAGGTGATTTTTTCGATGGTTTCAAGCATATTTTAATTTTATGTCGGCTTTAACGAAGCTCAGATTCCGCATGCAAGGTTGAGTCTCGAAATTCGTGCATATTGTATGCACGTGCTTGGATTTGATTGTTAAGTTCATAATCAACGGGTGCAACACATGTGGTTATGGAATGCAAGAAAAATTCTATAATTATTATTTTAAAACTATCGCATAGAACACAAAACATTCATTTACTTTTTTCACATTGCATGGCTATGAAATGCAACGAGAATATCAGAATTTAGCATGAGGTAAGTGCAAATGTTCATGAAGTTGCTGCAGAATGGGAAACCGGTGGGTCCAAGCAGCATAGCTGTAGAGATTTGGAGAATAGAGTGATGAGATTGCTGGTAACGAGATTTTGAAGCATGAGAGAATGACGGAGGTGCGGAGACAAAATGTGCTGGTAATTGTTTTCAAGAATAAAGTTGGTGTGCAGAACTGTAATAATTATAGGGATATAACTTAATCATTTGCAGCATGAAGACACGAGAAAGGGTTATCAAGTCCAGACCGAGTAGCAAGGTTGTGATCAGTTTGGGTTTATGACAGCGAAAATAAGCATCGTTAATGCGAGGGTTTAATGTGAAAAGAGCCAGAAAGCACTGTATTATGTTTTTGTAGATTTAGAAAATGCTTATGACAGGTGGATTAATTACGTTATGAATCGTAATGAGTCCCTTATCATATATTATGGTGATGAATTGTTCAAGTGATTATGTGAGGCAGAACGCTTCGTGCACTTTGATATAATAAACTTCTATTTACGTGAGGAATTCAAAAGAAAAAAAAAGAACCCGACAGCAGCAAAAACTAATTTTTTAAAAAATAGTATATGAAGAAAAATGCACGTTCATAAATGGAATTTGATAAATGAAAGTGTAGTTGCCAACAAAAGAGCAAAGAAGCACTAAATGATAAACCGTAACGGCCAAACGATGAGAAAAAAAGAGTAATATGATTAAACGAAATAGAGAGAGTATTGTGTTGATAACAATAGCGTTGATGTTAAAAATATCACTTCGTTTTTTTCATTCAACATCAAATTGATCATTGAATCACTATCAGATTATTCCTTGATATGCATACCAAAAAAACGTGAAAAGAAGCAATGACGTTCGCTGATGATTTTGTGGTATGCAATGAAAATGAGAACAGATAAGAATCAATTTGGAAAGATGAAGAATGCTTTGGCGTAAAGTGAAGGAAAAGTTGAACAGGAGGTAGAAGTAAATGAGCATAGAGATGATCAACGTGAAGCAATGCCATTAATCCGGACTGGCCACACAAAGCAGTGACTAGTGATTGAATAGTTCTGATGATATTTTTTATGCGTGCACGTGTTTCAGTGCTGGAAATGATACACTTATGACTGCGATCCTTAATACATGTCAGATTATGAAGTTGCTATAAGAAATCAAAATCTAACTGAAACTTTCGTTTATTGGGCCATATTCATTGCATAGATGTCATCAAAACAAAATATATGCATATACACAAAATGTGAAATGTAGTTTGAAAATTAAAGTTGCACAAATAATTGTGTGAATAATATGGGAAGTAGAAAAAAGAGGACTTATAAATAAAAGGAAAAAGATTGTAGAGAGAGGAGATGACTTTTATAAAAATGTGAAGCTGGAGCTAGAACCGGATGCGTAATTTCAGAAATTTGGAGTGCGAGCTGGAGCTGAGGCAATTTTTTCAATTTTAGTCATCACTGGTAAGGACCAATGAAACCGCTTAGAATAGCTACAAATAAATATACTTAAAAAACATATGCACACGTGTTCAGAATAAATCAAATTATCATGAAAAACAATCAAATTATCATGCAATAATTGAAGTCGGAATATTAAAATCTAACTGCAGAGAGCATAAGACCATTTATGGTATTTCCAGGTTGCAATTTACCCAATGATTCTTTAATTTCTACGTTACTCTAGTGATGAAACGTTTGCCTATTAGAACTTCTTATCGCAGGCTGTAGAGGACCAGTCATCGAAATAAGCACCAGTCTTGCTTCCATTAGCTCCATATTGAACAATTACTTACTGTTGAGCAACCCGGTTCGCTTCTCAAAATTAGACCCAAAATTAATGTTATTAACAGATGAGATATCCTGTAGGGCAGTATTTTTCATTGGACAGCAATCTGACCCCTTGAGGGTTATTTGAGGGCATCGGGAAGGTAAATGAATTTGTTGATAAATCTCAATTTTTTCATCTCTGAGGAATGTTTTTTAACCGCTTTTCGTTGTTACTGCTGAAGTCCACTTTCTTTCTGCAGTTGATGAACAAATTTCTAAAAATACTTGACTTATTTTTGAAAACCAATTTCCTTCACATCACCGAGGATTTTCTGGATCCGTTTGCCAGTTGCTTCTGACGTTATGCACGGAAATATTAAATTTTTGTCGTGGGAAGGGAATGAGGATGACGACCTGTCAGACCATCGAAGGGGGTAATGGAGCTTCTCAGGGAGTGGAACACTGCCCTAGGACCTCTTGTTGTTTGTACTCTTATGCTCTATAGGCTATTATAACTATTAACCACGTTTGTTTACAGCCTTTACGTTACGCAGATTCAGATTAACAATGTCGCATTCAAAGTGATACGAAAATATCTTCTCGTCTGCAACATCACATTTTTATCGTGCTGTATCGATATCGCCTCGACCAGTATTTCGTAACCATGGAAAGACTAGCTGATATGGCAGCCAATCTCTCCCAGTCATCGCTGAGAAACTTCGTCGTCTTTCATATCGGCAGGAAAAAAAGAGAAGAGGAGAAAGAAGATAAGCAGAAGAAGAGAATGAGGACACCCATCATTTATCACCTTGTGGGAGCAAATAGCAGAATTAGTAAATAGTAACCAATATAACACGGGGATAGAACAGTATAAGTTGAACCCAACGGTCCTCTTTAGAGTCACCAAATCATAAGCCAATCTTTATCACACAGCTTGCACTAGTGTGTTGCGGTAAACAAGGAATTTCGGGGACCCCGTCTCCGATTTTTTATCTTTCCCAACAACACTAATTTGCACAACAGTGTCATTCACAGTTATCAAAGACCATTGTCTGAAGTCTTTAAATGTGTAGCCAAGTATTGCGTCCATCATAGGAAATGTTGCACCTGGGTAGACGCATAATATGAAATTAAGATCACACACGTAACAGAGAGAGTAGGACAAAATACAACGAAAGAAGAATGATTCACTTGATTCGATCATTCCAAATGATCGCAGAACATTCGCTACCTCTCTTGTAATCAGTTACTTTTACTGCTTTACATCTTTGCTGGTCAGTTAGTTTCTGAGTGCTTTGTTTGATTGGAGTAGAGTTGATGGAATGAATTTCATGACAACGTTTCGTTCTCAGCAATCAATGATGATTGTGAACAACGATATGTGTACAGTTATTGTCTAAAACAATTGTGTAATGTGTGCAATGAGCACCTTGCTAGTAGTGTGCGATTATTTTGCTGCACGTGTATAGCACTCGATATGGAATGACATATTTGATTTCATTTTTTGTGCAGCCAGTGGGTGTATAAGCAAACAAGAATAAGCGCGTGACAATGACTGGCTTGACGTGAGTCTTAATGCTGTTGTAGACCGTTCGTTGTTAATGCACACCTGCACTGCTGGACACTTTACTGACACCGATCCATTTGACGACGCAGTTGAAGTTTGGTGGAAATAGCTAACGCAATATTCTCTTTTGCGTTTCTCTTACGTCTTTTTAAACGATTAATTCTAAGAGATTCACCGTTGTGTTATTTTTCAACAGTACAATTTACGAACGGGATATTTTTTTTTTTGGAAAAATGCTTTAAATGTTGTCGTGCATTGGTCGTTGCTAAGGATACCTTTGTAAAAATTGATGTAAAATTTCCGAATATTGGAATAACTGAAATCGTTTCGTTGTTGCCACTAGTCCAGGTCTATTTCTACATGTGAGCCTAAAATTACAAATTTGAGCTCAACGCCTTCGTTATGTTTTTGGAATGCAAATGTAATGTGATAATTTCAGTTCTACTTAATTGAAGGTAAACGACGTTCATTATGAGTGCTGAAAACGGCAAAAATTCAATAAAAGGCGATTCTGATGTTTCATCACTTCGTCCAATCGCTGACGATGCTTTCTTTGTGGTAAACGAAGTTGTTATGAAGCATTTGGGTCATGTCCCGATTCTCAAGGTATGTCGACGTGTATTTGTTAAATAGTTTGATCGGTGTATCTCTGTTTTGATCTACGCCTAATTGCTGTGAACAGTTCTTCATTCGATTGAAAATAATTAAAATCCATGGAAAGGATAGTAATCAAGCGATTCAAATGTGGATTCTCTCTCCTTTTTCTCACTCACTCACTCTCTCTTTAAGAATATTTTTTATTCAGTTCCTTCAGATGATCTAATACAAACTGGTAAGCAAAAACTGAATAATTCTTGTATATGGTATCATGAGGATTATATCCATTATCTGTATCATTATTTTTTGCAAAATTAATTTCATCACTACTATTTGTGTTGTTATCATGTATGGACTGATCATATCTTTCAGGGTGATTTTCATTTGCTACCCAATAAGGTGCAGCATTTTGTGGCTGAAAAAACAGAACTGATGCGTCCACGTGGTATTTTCATTTGTGATGGTTCACAGCATGAAGCTGAAGAGATTATTCACAAATTGGTAGAGCGTGGAATGCTCTCAGAATTGAAAGCATATCAAAACAATTACATATGCAGAACAGATCCCAAGGTTTCTACTTTATTTGATTCTTCACGTATATTTCACCCGAATTTTATCGATAAGTAGAAATGGAATTATTTGATGAATATCACTTATTTTTATAGTAACTGATAATGTTTTTAAATGAGCCAAACTTCTCATCAACAAACTATTTGAAAGGATGTAGCACGAGTGGAGAATAAAACGTGGATGGTTACATCGGATAAGTATCAAACCGTATGCCATGTGAGAGAAGGTGTCGAACCGATTATGGGTCATTGGATGTCTCCAGAGGTTTTCGGTGAAGAGTTGGATTCAAGATTTCCGGGTTGCATGGCAGGTCGCATCATGTACGTGATCCCGTTCTCTATGGGGCCTATCGGTGGTCCATTATCGAAAATCGGAGTTCAGTTAACCGATGCGAATTACGTCGTTCTTTGTATGCGCATAATGACTCGTGTATCATCGGAAGTTTGGGATGCACTCGGTGATAATGATTTTGTGCGTTGTATACATTCGGTTGGACTACCTCGACCGGTCAAACAGCATGTGATCAACCACTGGCCGTGCAATCCGGAACGTGTGATTGTAGCGCATCGTCCGGCCGAACGTGAAATTTGGTCATACGGCTCGGGATATGGTGGCAATTCTTTATTGGGAAAGAAGTGCTTCGCATTGCGCATCGCATCGAATATTGCCCATGATGAAGGATGGATGGCGGAGCATATGCTCATTATGGGTTTGCTTTTGTTCACACTGTGTTTGGGTAAACTGAGGATGTCTGTTTTGAATTGATTTTGAGACTGTTTACTTATTTGGAAGGAATAGAGTGGAACAATCGCTGGTCAAACCCAGCTGCTTCATTAAACGGCGTATGGAGCGGAGTTGATGGACCCTATTCGTATGTAAGTATCAAATTGCTCTGAATGATGTTCGTTTAAGGTGTGACACGTCCGAATGGCAAAGAACATTTCATCGCAGCTGCATTCCCATCAGCTTGTGGCAAAACAAATCTAGCGATGTTAGAACCAGCATTGCTCGGCTGGAAAGTTCGCTGTGTTGGCGATGATATCGCTTGGATGAAGTTCGGTGACGATGGACGTTTATACGCAATCAATCCTGAAGCAGGCTTCTTTGGCGTTTGCCCAGGAACATCCAACAAAACTAATCCAATGGCAGTAGCCACCTTCCAGAAGAATAGCATCTTTACGAATGTGGCCGAGACTGCTAACGGTGAATATTTCTGGGAAGGTCTCGAGGATGAACTCAAGGTTGCAAACTGTTTGATCGATCTATTGATAAATTACTCTCAATTATCGCCCTGTAAAATAGTTCGTGTGAATGTGTCCTTAATATGTTCGACATTTTGATGATTTTCTATAGGTTAGAATTGAAATTACGAAAATGTTTAAGGACAAAAATGTTGAAATTACGAATTGGCTGGGACAAAAGTGGCACATTGGTGATCCCACACCAGCAGCACATCCGAACTCACGTTTCACTGCACCGGCCAGACAATGCCCAATAATTCATCCAGAATGGGAATCACCAAAAGGCGTCCCAATTGACGCGATTGTTTTCGGTGGAAGAAGGTTTTGGTTGATTGCATATCGTTTTTTTATTTGTCACTTTTATCAAAAGGAGCCTCGCAACGTGCGAGCTCGGTTTCTTATATGCTAAGCACATACATAACACGGGTTGAACTCGCTCGTTCAGCAAATCATTCGAAATGTAAATAAATGCAGACCTGAAGGCGTACCGTTGGTTTTCGAGACGTTCTCGTGGACGCATGGTGTATTCACTGGCGCATGTCTGAAATCGGAAGCAACTGCTGCTGCTGAACATAAGTCCAAAACCGTCATGCATGATCCGATGGCGATGCGTCCATTTATGGGATATAACTTTGGCAAATACCTTCAACACTGGCTTAATCTTGAGCGTCCGGATCGCGAGGTTATTACTGTTTGGTATAGCTATACACTGCTTTTTCATTTATATCACTATTGTTTTCGTTCATTCATTTTTACTGCTGTTTTTGGTTTTGATTGAAGAGATCTTAAGATGTTCGATTTGTTAGGATAAAAGGATTTAGATGCCCAAAATCTACCACGTAAATTGGTTCCGTAAGAACGAAGAAGGCAAATTCATGTGGCCCGGTTTCGGAGACAATATCCGCGTTATCGACTGGATCTTACGTCGCCTTGATGGTGAACCCGGAATCGGTAAAGAAACGGCAATTGGTGTTGTGCCGGTTGAAGGATCGTTGAATTTGAGTGGTATTGAGAAGAAGGTGAACTTTGATGATTTGATGAGTGTGCCAGGTGACTACTGGCATGAAGATGCAAAAGAAGTTCGTCACTTCCTTGATGATCAGGTACTTTTTAGTTATTTCATTTCATTTTTGTTACGTATGGCAGTACCGTACATGAGATCAGGTTAGGCTTGCTGGGTGGTCTCATGTCAATTGATTAACTAAAACTCCTCATCTCATTGCTTGCAAACTGTCCGCGAATTTCATACAGAATGGTGTAAAATTGTTTATAATGATACGTTCTTGATCAATATTTTTGTAATAAAATTACGATTTTTGTGAGCATTTCTTTTGAAAAATTTTACTTATTTTGGTTTCAAATTAATGGCGCATTTTTTACAAGCTATTGATAGTGGAAGGCTTATAAGAATCTTACTCGAATATTGAAGTAATTCTCCGCTCTGTTTTACTGCACTGCTTAGCAAGTGAATAAGATTAGTATCTGTTCATCGAATAAACATATCGTATATTCGTCGCAATGAGCTCATCATTGCCGAATTTCAATAAAAGTCATTCGCCTGAATCGAATGAATGCCATCGATCTAATCGTTATTTACAATTGAGAATAAGTTCGATAAGTTTGTTTTAGCAAATAATATTAACTATAACTGATTTTAGGTTGGAATCGATCTTCCCAAAGCTATCCGCTCCGAAATGGAAGCCCAAGAAGCTAGAATTGCTGCTCTTTAGCCGAATGTATAATGGGAATCGTTGGCTGCTAATTGCATTACGTAACATAGCCATGTTTTCTTGTTTATAAAATATCATAGGTTTTGCTTTAATACGCCCTTATTCTATTTCGACGTTCCAATCTAGGCTATATGATGTTTAAATGTTCTAGCATACCTCATATATAGATAGATTAGATGTCGTTGTCCACATACCTCATTGTGCAATTTGAAGTTGTAATTTTTAAAATCTCATACCTTAGCTGTTTCATAAACATTTTTACACGTTCTGTTCAAGGGCTTCAATAAATGAACAATTGTCATTTTCTTGCTTAAGTTTCACGTTCGTTGCACTCTGTGAATATAACGTAAGGGCTTTGTCAGCTGACGTTTATGGCTTATTAAACAGATGAGACTTGTTATTTTATGCGAATAAATATTTATTATGTTTATCATTATTATCAATATGCACTCGAATAACCAAATTATCTCAACGGCCACGTTGCACTGACAAAAGGAGAAAAAGATAATTAAGTAACCAAAAATTAATGATATGAGTAACATCGTCATTACATACATGAAGTAAGTGATGAAAACGACGAATATTCAAAATCACAAAAACGGACCATCAACAAGAATGTTAATTCTTAAAACAATTTACATATGTATATTAAGAGTTTTTGAAAAAGGAACGAAGAACACACATACATACATACACGGATTGAAACGAAAGAACGGGGTGATCGATCGACGGTTTGTAGTTCTTGCTTTGAAAGTTCTTTGTAATTACTTCATTTTAGCACAATTCATTCATAGCCAAAACTGAACGATACAAAAACCAATGAATACCAACTAATTTTATTCTGTTGACTAGCCTGAATAACTTTTAACTATGTCAATATAATATATTATCGAACAAACGCTTTCATTTTTTCATTTTGCTGTGAAAAAAATACATTGTCATCAATATCGAACGGACGAAGTCTTCGTTTGAAGAAGGTCAACGAGCACTGCACATTTCCGTTCTAACGAAATGCGAAATAACACTGAATGAAATGACGAATTTTCGAGTAAACACTGAAATCAAGATCACAACATTACAATATTTTCTTCCTCCACATAAATTTTCGACCGGACACTAATATGATTTGACAAGTTTGCTTTAGACATTTGAAGAGGTCATCATGATACGTTCCAGAGGTTTGACTCATGATTGAGTGTAACGATTTTATGAAGATGTTAAGAAGGGAACGGTGCTCCAAGTAGTAAATATAACAGAAGAGATACGTGGCTTTCTCGTGCTAAGTGAGGACGAATCGATACGATTCACTCGCTTGTTTAACGGAGCAAATGAAAATTCTGGAAAAATAATCTTGCATCAAATGAGACATAATGTCATCAAGCATTCGTGAGGAAATAAGTGGGCTTAATGGGAACGCAATGAAGCGCAATTGCTAAAGGAAAATTAGAACAAGAAAAGAGTGCCATGAACTGGATAAATGCTATACATTTTTCAGTCGCTCTAGTCAATGTTGGTCACAAATCGTCTGTTTATTGTGGAGAATAAATGATATACTGAGCTGGGATGCAGGAAGATGAAGAAATAAAACCATCACTATGTTATGGTTTGACCCGAATTGGTATCATCATTAGCGATTGTTCTCAATGAGGATGCCATACAACAAATCGAAAATGATGACGCTGAGCACTGCTGACTGATGCACTTATTCACTGTGCTTGCTGCAAACGAAGCATTCGTACTTGCAATGGCAGTAGTAGGTGTTTTACATGTCCTGGTTAATACTATTGGTAGGGCGGTTGTGTTCCATTCTGGAAGGGTTTGTGTGGCACTGATACGGACGAGAGACGGTGATGAACTGGCAGGATGTGGACAAGAGTAAATTGTTGTTGGCACTGTAAAATGATTAGGTGCTAATGATTGTTCAGAATGGATTGTCGATTCACATTCAGAGGACTTGATTAATACTGCATTAAGTGGTGATATTGATGAGTGCTGTTTGTTTGCATTACAATTGTCCAACCGTACTGGCACATAAACAACAGGATGAGTCAAACTTCTGCGTTCTTGACTGGTATCAAGCGATGGTGACCAACGTGTACGAGACGAGAAGCACCCGTCAACATGTTGCCTACAATCGGTACTATGGCATATCCTTTTGGTGATGCTGTTGTTCGTGCAACTGTTTGGTGTCATTTTCATACTCTGGCTACTAGCTAAACCCGAACCCAGCTGGATGCCTGTACGGCCACAAGATGGCCTTTCGACACCAGTTGCCGTATTCAAGCGACTTCGTCCTGAATAGATTGCCTGAACGCTAGCCTCTCGCGCCGTGCGACATGAGATTGATGAACATGAGAATGAGGCATGAGCATCGAATGGGTTGCAGTTTGGTGGCGCACGAACCCAACGCTCTCGATCTTCTTCGCATACCAAACGACTCTGTAAAACCAACAATTACATATGTGTAAGCTGCTTACTTGGTAATATTCAAAACTTAGATTGTAGGAATTAAACGGGAACTGAAAAGATACTATTAGAATGAATGATTCATAATTGTAGAGATATAAGAACAGAGCAACTCAGGACAATGAAATATACCGGCGGTGTGGAAGCGTCCCGTTCACCGTCAGATAAAAAAACAGTGGCTGGTAAATGTGAAGGAGATCGGGCAGGATTGTTTTTGTTAGCAGTTTGATGATGTTTGTGATGTTGTTGTGGTGGTGGTGGTTGCTGTTTTGATGCAGCATCATAGACGCCGAGAAGATCGTTTGAATATGCTGCATCGTCGATGTTTCTACACTGGCAACTGTGCGCCATTAATGGCTCGCCGGTTGCCAGCTGTGTTGAACATCCAGCTATGTTACCTCCACCTAGTCGATTCACCAATGAATTTAGCTTCCCCCTGCAAACCATTTAATCAATCTCCACCATGCTGATTCCCTTCTTCACTGAGATGACCCAGTGACTTTTTTCTCGACACACATAAACAGACATGACAATCAGTCTGGTAAACACCTATAAATCAGTTCAAAGATTAACAACTAAGGAACTGATCCAAAGAAGGATAATATTTCCAATCGTAACCAAATCATGTTTGTTTATCTGATATATCACAGCTAGTCAACAATCTCCTCACCGTTCAAAAGTCTATCGAGAGTCAGGAAACTGTTAAGCTTTTTGCCCTTTTCAAAGGATGAATGTAACGCACTAAAAAAGGTAAAGTGTGGTTTTGAATGCGACCATAAATGAAGAAACAAATTATAGGTTTAAGATTTGCAAAGAAATCAACTGACTGTATTGAAAACGAAAGAAAATTATGAGCTATGAGGCCTAGCCTAAACAAACTTATTGTTAGCTACCTCTGTATTAACAAAAATTCCCGACAACACCAACCTCTTTTCAAAGTCTGCCGGCACGACACCCATATTCTTTCAAATTGGGCACACCTATCACAATAAATCAAGCATTACAGCGGATGGTTATAACCAATTTTCGAGTACAGATGACACTACTTACCATAAACAATAACAATCGCAATGCACACTGCTTAACAATCAAACATGCAAAGTTGGCAACAGTGGATATCGTAAAACGCTTCTGAAAGCATCCCGAGATGAACTGGACAGCATTATTGTGGACTTTTGACTTTTGAAACGGTTGTGGGATTGTTGACTAGCTGTGATACAGTATGACACAAACGGAAATAGCGCCAATTTACCATTTATACATATTAGAAACCAAAAAAGAAAATTTGCTGGAAAATAAAAAATTGCAAAGTAATGAAAAGATTGGATCAAAAAGAAAAAATGAGAAAAAAGAAGGGGACTTATCTCACAACAAAGTAAAGAAATATGAACGAGAATAACACTAAAGATGCAAATAATACTGGTATGATGAAGAATTTAACTGTTTGAAAGGACTGAGAAACAAAATAGATAAAACAAAAAAAAGTGGTTGGAAGTTAAGATAACCGAAAAACGACTGGAATAAAGGAATGAGAAGAGACGTAAGTGAATCAATGATATTAGCTTCGAAAGTGCTAGTGAAAGAATGTGAAATGATTCCGCTCGGCTGATGTGAATCGACAGATGCGTATTTGCAGATGTACAATTGTGTGCATCCATAAATATACACATGTAGACCTCGCATATTGCGGATTCGTCATAATGCGCCACTCCAAAAACCGTATTCATACTATCGACTGATATATAGCCCAGGAGCATAAAGATGTCGAAAGCTCAACATTCCGAACTAGGCTAACTTGATTGAAAGCTTAAGTCTAACTTGAGGATAACACCTGGACTTAGGCTAAAGCATGGCCCCAACTAACAATATTCAACACTGATCGAAGCGGATTTTCAACGCCTTTCAGTGAATCACGCATGCAACAATTTCCAAGTTTGGGTACCCACAGCGACGACTCGAGTCAATTCTTGCAGTTGTGGAACTTGCCTTTACATTTGCAAAATTACAGCCGAATTGAACAGGCTGGCTGAATGTTTGCTACAAACTTTACATTTTTATTGTGTCACATAATCTTCTCCGTGTATTTTCTGGTGCTTTCAAATAGCTAACGAATATGAATTTCGAGCGAATGGTTTTTTTTGACACCAATAATGTCACCATACCATAGTTTTGGTCTGCCTGACTTTAGAAGGGGTGTAACTAACTTGAAGCTTTGATTCTGCTGCGGCTCAGTCTAACTTAAATTTAGAATTCGATGAAGACTCGCTGAGGCTTAATCAAATTGAACCTCAGTATTAAGTGTGAGACGACCGTAAAATTAGCGTCAATAACGTTGCCAGTACCCGTCCTTCAGTAAGTGCTGTTTTTAGATTACAAAATAAACACTTCATAACACCATAGAAATCATTCGATGGCATTGGTTCCATAACTATTGAAACGTCATTTCCCTTTGATGTCAAAATTAGCGTTGGGAATCGCAAGATTTTTGCGGTTGTTCCCGATCTAATGCCCTATTGGTGACCATCAATGGACTCATTTTGAGCATCGATCAGTGGGGTAATCGAAGTTCGGTTTGCTAAGACCAACGATCGAATAGTCATTCTCGATGGCTGTCAAAAGTTGGCATCGTTTTGTGACATCGAAATTTGGTGCTGGCTTGGCACCGATCGAATAGTAACTCTCGATTGTTTTCAGTGGCCCCCGATTTGTTGGTTGTCACCGCAAATTGTTTTTTATAGGCACCAAAAATCAAATTAACTCGATCTCGCACTTCTCTTGTCAGTTCCAACCAGGGAGATTTGCATCTTGCCTGCATCACCGTTCTTAACTACGCCAACGAAAGCGCGATAGTCGTTGATCTATCAGGTATTTTTTTCATCGTATCAGTTTCATCACTTGGGACGTGTATTTCTCGACACAACTTTACGTCAAGCAGAATTACAAATTTATTAAAATTTTACTTATGTTGTAGTGGAATATTACATTAAGAACAAAAGTCATGGCTTAGCGGAATATAGTGAATAAATATAGAAGAGTTAATTATATCATATGGAACACATTCTGGAAGAATGTAACTTTGGATTAGATTACCGACCCGCAAAACTAGTGAAAACGCTCATGTGCAACCTGCTTTTACGCAAGACATTTCAGGACATTTGACGAGGAGGAATGCTCACGGATATGGACTCTGCTTAACAAACTCGAAATAAGAGGAGCAAAAACATGAGCAATTTCGATTTCCTCTCACTGCTTAGAAACTCCAAAATTCGATTAGTATGCAATTGAGGGCTACCCATAGCCCTCAATTGCATATTTCGCAAATAAATCATCAACGTTCACCCTTATAAATGCGAACAGAAACAGACACTAAATGAGAACACCAACAGAAAAGTGTAACATAGCTAACTAAATCCCTCGATTCATCTCCAGTTGTTGAGTAAGTGCGATAATCACACACCGCCGTGTTTGACGTTTGCTCACTTAAGAAATGCACCGAAAGAATTATGTTCAATCGCCGACCTCGATCAACTCAATCAAAGCACTGACGGAGTATATAACAAAGGAAAAACGTGTCCACCGTTTGACGAACGAGTGATCTGTTTGTTAATCCCGTTCGGTTTCGGTCAGTAGTATTGAAATTTGTTCCTCGCACACCACCGATCGAACAGTCCGTTTCAGCTGCGGTCGGTGGCCCCAGTTTTTCAGTCACCACCAGAAATGGTCATTTCAGCTCTCAGTTGATGGCCACAGAAAGCCCATTCTTGGTATCCACCAATCGAACAGTCCCTTTCGGTTGAGGTTAGAGAGCGCCGTTTTTCGATGGCCACCAAAAATCGGTCGGTGACCTCCGACCAAAATTCGGGATTTACCAAAATTCGATGGCAACCGACCCAACTCTAGTTATAATAAACGAAATGACCACAAAAGGTAACCTCCCAACCACAAAAGGGATCCCTCTCTGCGCTTTGCATGAACCTTTCAGAAAACTACAGAAAGTTGAAAAAATGATCGGAATGTAAAATTAAAAAACGATTTCCAAATGTGAACAAAGGAAGAACTATGAACAACCACATAACAAGTCAATTTATCATGCCAGAAATGTCTCAAAACGAAGCCAGAAAGAAAATGATCATGATGACATAAACAACCGAACAAAACATTCGGAATGTTGACGAGAAATATTCTTCATTGACATTCCTAAATGCGATCCTCTCAAGTTTGAGGACATGCTTTTAGCTAACGATTCATCTTGCCAATCACTAGAGCATATGGACATGACTACATTAGTTGCTTAAAAAACAATATGATTCAGTGCAATAGGATAAGAATACAGGAGTGCTGCCTAGTGTATGAGAACAGCGCGGTACTGTCACATAGTCCAAATGTAACCGTTTGTCAAATGAACAGGAATATTTCAAAAAGTAAATTGGAAATTCGCACAGAATTTATGCTTCATAATTTTAGATTATATATGTAATAGCGACAGCACATATGATGCTATCGTTTCGCCATAGTATGTATAACTGAAGGGTGTTAGATATCCATCCCATTTCAATGAATCTGTTATGTTGTAGTTTCTTCATCTAAGATCAACATGGCGTGATACCAGCACAAAACATTGCTGCACAACGTTCCTCTTTCATGCACTCACTCACATCAATCGTCCAACATGCTGCATCAAGCAACATTTTACATTTAAAAACATCTATATATAT